TAAAAGCAAAGTATATTGCCACCGTCACTTGGGTTCGTTATGTTTTAGTATTATTATGGCGATAAGGTGTAAGAATTCCTTCCTTATTCTAGATGTGGACACATTGTTGATGAGTTCATTGAGAAAAATACACGTAGTTCCTTATCCTCGCGGTCAATCGCGATCCGAAAATATTAAAATTTCAGAAATAAACAATTCATAAGTTTTAAATTGCGCACCGTTTTAAATAGAATGATGAAATCTCGCTCCGTGTTCTCAGAACATGAATCATCTCTTTGTCCAGTGTATCGAAGCCGTACCCGTTCATTAGTCACTTAGTAACCGTCTCGGTTATCAACCCACTGTCCATTGTCACGATACCTCTGTATCTGTGTTTAACTAACCCTTATTTTATTCAATAATAATTCAAAGCACAATAATAGTGATGATGGCAATTAGGATATACCTAAGAGAAGCCGTAAAGTGTTTCCTGAAGCAAGATATTAAAAATTCTTGACTTAATAAGAAAAGAAAAATTCATATACTCAAGCTACCATTATGAATTTTAGTTATTATAGTATATAATTATAACTGTTCTAATATTTTTAACGATGCATGTTCCATCTTTAGCTTTTTATGAGTTTAATTTCGATGTATACTACACAAATATCTGAAAATATGTAAATATAGTAAGAATGCCATGCGATCCCAATCATATCTTAAGTCTTGATTTAACTTGCAATTTTCCACTGGCAGTGGCAAAGATGTAGGTAGACCTTTATTCCATATAAAGCGATAGAGACTATGCAAAGAAGCCAATTAGATGCAACGTCACATTTTCGAATATGAAATAGATGCTATTGTTCTAACGTCAGACTTACTATCACTTTATTGACTATCGAAAACGGTAAGTCTTAGCGGTAGCGAAATTTTCCTAACGGTGCGGCAACTTCTAGAGAGATGCAATGAGAGATTGTTTCCATAGTAACCGTCACCTTCACTCTCCTCTGCCTCTGGAAATTTGCAAGCGGAATCAAACCTTCAAGCATCTTCGATAATCTTCGATTTACGATGCTATCAAAATATCAATCTATAATATTTAATATTAATGATTTTATCAATAAAAGCTTAATATCAATTATTATGGAATTATCTATAATTTACTAATAATATTGTTTCTTTCATATAAGATCATGAAACTTTCAACTAATTCGAACTCGAATCCTTAGCCCCAGAAAGCTGCAGAGCTTTGAGCATCGGACATTCGACTTTTAAATTGTTAATAAAGAGTAAAACTACTTAAAATCAAATAAATTTATCATTTTTCATTAATTTATTATTATAATGAAATTAATAAAATGAACGACATTTATTACATTTTCTTCAATTCGATTTCAATTATAAATGTTCTTTCTTAGCAAATAAGTTCATCAAAAACTGAAAACATAATATTATCATAAGTATCGTTATTGACATTAATAGAGGACAAAAGACTCTCTTTGGCATTAACGGAATGTAAGTTTCTATCATGTACAGTACTAACAAATCTATTTAAACAGTTGAATGTACTGTATATAGATTTAGTAGTCTGCATCAGAATCTTAATTTGCACAGTAGGTAGAAAGCAAATTTTGGAAGTTATCTTTTCACAGAATAAACGAGGATATTCGATTGAGTAAAAATGAAAAGAAATGAAGCTTAAGAACTGCTTTCGAGACCAGTACTTGCATAAGTTTACATTTGAATATTTATTCTCTATGATTATTATTAATTTTAGTAACATATTACTGTTTGTTATAATTATTAAAAAATAATAATTTCAGGATTAACAATAAGAGTTTTTTTATTCCCTTTATGAAAAAAGTTGTATATCCTCAACAAAGAATAAAGAATTCTTTATGAGATCGTTTATAATAATTATTTTTAAACTTAATAATATGAATGGATTATTCGTTTTAAGTTATTCTATAATACTGTATAAATATATTAGAAATAATTACCAATTTAATTAAGAAAACAAGTAGTAGTAGTACAGAAAATATTATTCTACATTGTAAGAACATGTAGACAATTATTATACTATTTTTAATGGTTAGAATGTATCTGTTAAATAAAAAAAATACTCGAATCAATTTACTTGTGTCGGGTAATATCGAGATCTCTTGGAAACGGTTCTGTCATTCCAAAGTTCAGATGAATGGCATAAGTCAAAAGGTTGACTAAACACGCTTCGGCGGGCGTCGCATGCAAACTGATGTTTCAATCTAGCAATTTATTTCCTGTCTGTTGTCAGCCTGAGGCATGGTTTCTAAGATGTCTCTTGCTTATGAACTTCATGACAACGGTAATTAGATAAATTCTTTTAACAACTTGCTTTAAGTCTGAATTAATCAAACTATAACATTTATTTTGATAGTATTTACCATTTGTATGAACTTTCGAGAATCCCATGTTTCATGCCATATTAATCATCTAACCTAACAACATTGAATTTGTCAATATATAATTAAAAATTTTTATTCGGAATCGTTATTCAATACTTACACTTTTCTTCATTTTATATACAAAGTAGTGTAAATTTTAATAATTTTATTGGCACGAAAAACTTAAACAGTAATTGTAAACATTGATTCATAAATTCAAAGAAATTTCATGGCATTAATTGAATACAGCCATATTCAGGTTCTAAACAGGGACACTGATGGACCACTGGATAAAACCACTGAACACTGGTGGTTGGTCTTAGATTCTGACCAATGGACCAATGGAAGGTTTCCGAGTCTCTTCAGGTGTCTAACACCTAAATAAGGTGACCCTTATTTAGGTGTGATACGAGCAATACGAGAGGTCACACGTGTGGTTATATGCCTTATCCCATATAACCACAACAGAACCTGAACTAAGTAGAGCAAATTTTTAAGTTTAATTTTGAATATATGAAATATTTTTACGGTATAAATGAAAAACATTGATTATTAAATTGAACTGAAAAAAATAATTCTAAATATTTGATGGTATTGTTGATTTGTTGATCAATTGCCATGTTAATGGTATCTCTCAAAGAATACAAACTTAATTAATTTTTAAATAATATAACGTGTGAATTAATTAATTTAAAAGTAATTTAAATTAAAAAATCGACCTTATTATATATCAACAATTTATAGTGCTTCCATGCAATGTCTTATTATAAATTTCATTAGTTAATATTTAATTTGACATTATTTTAAACAAAACAATTTTGAATGTAATATAAAAAATAATTTGAATAAAATATAAACTCTTCATTTTTCAGACAATTTTATAAAACAATTGGCCCAGAAGAAGGCGACGAAATTATTTGTACAGTACTTTAAATCATTTGGAAACTTTGAGGTAGTGTGCTTTTATTTAAACAACCGAATATATTAAATTCTTTTGGTAAATATGAAAGTAAATTTATGTCAAGTAATATTTATAGATTAGATTTGCATCTACTGCGAAATTTTTATATGATATTCCACTTTCTACAGTGGCATTTAAAGAAAAAGATTAAAAATTAAATATCTAATTCCAGAATTAGAAAGAAAACAAAACATTAAATTTAAAAGTATCTATTGCTAGAAAGCTAAATGGTTAAACGAATTTCAAAACAAAAGTTAAAAAAAAAAATTTAAATGTCATTTGCATTGTAAACAGACTCTGGTATCATCGTAATGAAAAAAATGACCAAGATTCAAAGTTTTGAAACTAAGTTAAGCCATAAGAAAATATTTAAGCTACGAAATATTTTTTAATTTTACAATTGTTTATTCTAAGAAGAAAAAAATAATGAAATCTTGACAAGTTTACAAGGCTCAGTTCATTATTCACGGGATTCCAAGATCGATCTCAATAGACACAACTTAAGCGGAGAATTGCACTTGAACTTAATGCCATGCTAGGCATGGACGAAATCCGAAAGAACATATACGTTTTCTTCTGTACTGTTTATGGATGCGAAATGTGGACATTCGAGAAGTCTAAACGGAGAAAAGTCGTTTCATTTGAATTATAGTGCTGGAGCAGACTCCACATTCTGTGTACTTTGAAAACTACAAACAGGGAGCTCTATCGCACATAGCAAAAACACCATAGGAGATAAGAATTGCAAACAAAGACTATTCTATTTTGGTCATCATATGCTAACTAATGCTAGGGTGAGTCAAAGCTTGCCATTAGGACAACGATAACGAACCATTTGGCTGAATACTGTTAAAAACGATGCAAGCTTCTCTTTCGCCCATGAGTAAGCTAAAGGAAGATGTACTTGACAGGAATAAATGGAATAAGATAGAAATTGAGTTAGAACATGGATATAAAAAAAAATAATTAACTTAATATATTAATATATAGCAATTTGTTCTCGTATGAATTATTCGAATGGAATAGATAATTAACTTATAATTACTGTAATTAATTTTCAAGGTGACCCAATCATTATAAATCTTAAAATATAGGTCTATAAATTAAAATTAGTCCTAAAATAAGCTTAAAGTTAGAGGTTAGCTGACTTTTGGGCCATCCCGTAGCATGTAGTTTAATCTGAGAGGCTAGATAAAATTTAACAATTAAATATTATATTGAAAATACATGGAATTTTTAAAATATTTTTATTCAAAGAGGAAAATTGACATACGAGTAAATTATTATTCATAAAGGAGAATGTTTTCTATATAGAAAAGTTATATTATTGGGGAGCGGAAGAGATTAATGACGATAATAAAACTGAAAAATCTCAAGTTTCTAAAATATTAATATATTTTATGTGGTTTTTTTAAAAAAATAAAATAAAATTTTGTATATTAGTCTTTAATTAAGATTTATTAGATTATCTAAATGACTGAAATTGCTAACTAAAACTCACGAAAAATTTTTTACGGTTACTAATGAATTAATTTCACCAAGTGTAATGGCCACAATGCTGATTCTTTTTAAAATTACTTACCATAATATTTAATTTGAAAATGAATTTTTCACTCTTCGATTCAAGAATCACTCACCTTTCAGCTTCTTTACTTTTGCGATATTTGCCCTACCGCATCGGTATTTCTCCTCGATCATAGTCACATAACTGCATGGAAAATCTTCGACGCTTTCCAAGTCATAATATTCGGCCCTTCCGTATAAAAGGGCATCAATCTCCTCTTCCATAGAACAATCGGGAGTTAATCTATCACCAGATTCAAGTTGGGATCTTAGACTGGCACAAAGAGGATCTTTAAGAATTGATTTGGATTGCTTACGCGTGCTTCTAGGACTTCCTCCAGCCGATTGGACTTGAGCCGTTTGTTTTGCTTTCACTGCTGAAGCAGCAACTTTGATATCGGTGTCAAATCGCACTGTCTTTTGGTAGGAAGGTGAACTGGCTGAAGAAGAAGAAGAAGAACCCGGTGGAGGATGATGATGATTAGGTGATGTTCTTCTTGGAGATGGCACTCCAGCCGAATGGGTATGAGCCCGTCTCCTTTCTACTTGGGGCGATTGCGTTCTTTTCGGACTTCCGGTGCTTCCTCTCCGAATTGGTGGCCCCCGAGTAACAGTAGGACTTCCTTCTCGTGATTGTGAAGATGAAGACGATTCACACCTTTGAATGGCACTAATTAGGGATTGTCTTAAATACATCAAATGATCGAGATTGACATCGTGCAGGGCCGGATCTCCTCCTTTCCTAGATGGACCAGGAGGTGGAGGAGGACCACGTGGCCTTGGACATTGCCTCCCCATCACTCTTGTGCCCATCATTATTTTCGGCTTGTCTCTATTGCAGCTAGGAGAAGAATTTGAACTTGACGAATCAGTGGCTCCTCCAGCGCCGCACGAAGATGCCCTTCCACCTTCAGCGCCATAGTACCCGTCAGGTATCTCCGGAGTTGGACATAAACTTTTATATCCGCTATCAATAGAATTAGAACCAGCGTATCCAATTGAATCCCTATCCATATCACTAGTATGATGCTGGCAAGATGGAGAAGATCTTGTTTTGATTTCTTCTCCATTTGATAACATTCTTCGCTGTTGGTATGCTGCTGCCAAATCATAATAGTCATCTGAATCACAAGGATCTGTAGTTAAAACACTGATTGTATCTAGAAGCGGATTTGAAGTTGGTTCCGAACGTGTTCTATGGTGGCATCGAAGCTGGTAGTGATGATACTGGCCGGCACTCATTCTTTTTTTTCTTGCACCGGGAGAAAATTTTCTAGGTGACTGACGTTGACTTCCGTCTTGTCTTTGTCGCGTTTCCCTCTCACTTCCACTCTCCTCAGCTTTCGGTTGGTGAGATGTCAGAGGAAAATCATCGCGTGCTACCGATTCGCCCTGGTGCAAGTGGTGATGGCTGATATGACTGGACCTAGAGTCCGTACGACTTGCGATAACCTCCTCGAATATGGCGTACATTTGCCACATTTGACGAGTAAAGTCATCTCCTTGCAAACTCAGCTCCGCCTGAAAATAAATAATTTTATAACTATTTAATCTTTATAAATTTAATATTGAAAACTTTAATAAACAATCACTTATACTCTAAATTTTCTTGACAAATTTATTGACTATATTTTAAGTGAAATTCTGTTATAACTATTTAAGAAAAATATAACGTTATATATTTATCAGATATTTATACTCAGCACGCTTATAAAGCATTAACAACTATTAACAATAGTTTTATTAGAATAAAACAAATAGTTTGTTCTCGTATTGTATGTTTTCGTTTTATTTGTAATTCAGTTTAGGTAAGATTTAATGACCATGGCATCAATACATTATGAGTTAAATGGTCTGCCTGAATTCTGCAATGAATCAGTCAGAAGATGGGTCACGATGCCACAATCAGAACCATCATAAAATTCATAAAATCCAAAGTAGGATTCGAAAATACCGCCCAGTGCGGCATTTCCCAATATTTTTTTGATTCAGGAGGAATAAAATCTGGAAAAGAATAGTCCATTATCTATTTCGCACAACGATTTTGTTCACCCTTTATGAAGATTAATAACTCCTCTGCTTTTTGTCGAAAATTCCTGAAATTTGGCAAGGTGATTTGTTTATAAGGGGAATTAATGCTATTAAATTTTGGTAATTAAAGATCGAGGGGTGAGTAGATAAAGGGATCGTGTGTATCTCCTGTAGGATCGGGCTTAATGACGATTTTACTTGTTATTAGCATTTATAATTTTTTTTATAAAACCCACCCCACCCTCAAAATCATGCTTTTTGCCACTTTATAATAATTAAAAATATAAAAAAATTTTAATACTAAAATATCATAACAGATGGCGCCACAAACGCAGTTTTAAATGTTGCCAGGAAAGTCAAGCAACTCGTTGCTGGATTATTTATATAGTATAACTTAACCCGAAATGCATTTGTTGTAATTTGTAAAATATGCCACAATAAAATCATTCGTCATTTAACCAGGACTGTTTGCTGTGAGAAAAATCGACCTTAATAAAAAGATTAAAGTGATTAGAAGATAGTAAAGATGAATTACTTTTGTATCATAATATTCTTATGAATAAAATATATAACCATAAGCAAAACTATAAAATATGTTTTACAGATATTCTACGGTGTATTGAAGATATAAAAGGATTTGTATTGATAGAAACTTATTTTTTCATTGTATGCCTCTGCGTTATCAATCGTCGATTTCGATCAATTATGAGTAGATCGATAGAAAGATCGGAGATTTATTACATTGTTAATCAATCTAACAATAAATCGATAACGTTGATAACAATCTGATTCTTGTCTATGAACGTTTAAGGTCGACGAACTTCACTATCGTCACACTACTTATCAGTTGTCAATTTATGTAATAAATATTATCAAAATATGTTAGTTTGAAAGATTAAATTTTCTTCCCTCTTATATTCTTGACTTTCACCAAACAGTTAAACGATTATGTCAAGTATAAAGCGTACTTTTTAAAGCTATTTTCATTATTTCCTTGCTTAAATTACGTTATCGTAACTTTCTTCTAGGTTGATTTAACACCTGTTACGTATCGTTCACTTGAATTTTTGATACCGTTTAATTATTCTTTCCTTACAAGAAACACGTTAACGTTCTTTCCTTTTAAGAAACACGTTCTGACTTAATTCATTAATTATCATTATGTAACAGCATAAAAATTTATATAATTAAAATAATATATAGATCGCTTATTACACAAGCCTTATTAATGCGTGTTACAATATGAGGAAAGTTTATTGTATGAGGTAGCTGATTGATAAATGATTCATTTTGATTTTAATAAATCTAAGAATAAAAATAAGTTAATAATACTAAAATGTAACAATATTTATTTAATTTTATTAAAATATTTCTTTAAAATTAAATCATTTTTACTCTTTCTTCTCTATTTACAGTTGTTGTATTGTAATTTTCACATATAATTCGGTCTGTCAACTTTATTTAATATGTAAATCACGATATTTTATATTAGTATTTCTATTCAAATACAATCAAACTTCTGAAAACGTTGTAATATGTATCGTTTAGAGCAAAATAACTTATATCTTCAACGGCATTTACTGCAAAAACAAGTAAATCTTGTTAGACATAATCAGAATGCCTGGTTTCTCTTCTGCCGTAGCGTGGCGCTTCTGCTTAACATTTAAATGGCGGCTTCCATAACAGCACCAAGCCGAAAGCTGTACCATCTTTACGTCACGTCACTACTGTAAAGATGAAAGATATCAGAGATCTCTTCCTTAAGATATTTGGGGAAAACTGAACTAGAATCCTAATAATCATTTTTATGGCACTACACGAAGTAGGGACTATGCAGGCATTGAGATTGAAATGATTAATGAGTAAAGGAAAAAATGAAGGGAAAAAAGGAGGAAAAACCATATTTCCTTCCTGTAATATTATAGTTTTTACAGCATTCTTCTGTAAATTTATAGCTGATTCGATAAAATTAATACTGTATATTATATCTTGCAGACTGATTGCAAGCCGAATTCCTAATAACTAGTTATGTAAAGAGTTTATAATTTAGTGAAAAAGCTGTTATATCCGGGGTTTTAATTCAAAACAAATTATATCCAATAATAAATTAGCAAATAGTGCAATAGTTATGGAATTTTGTAGTACATCTTCAGTATTAACATCTCTTTATGAAATATTTTATGTGATATTGGCGAGAAAGTAAAACTTCGTCACAATGCCGAGTTGAAAAAATTTTAAGCATATTTAATTTATTTAATTTTAAAATATATGCACTCCACCTCAAATTAGTAGTGGCTTGCCCCTGTACATCGTACTTTTCCTTTAACAATAGAGTCGTGCAGTCATTTATCTAACACCTTTTGGGGGGGAGATTTTTTAATTGAAATAACATTATCTCAGTTTGCACCAGAAGTTCGTGTTAATCGTGGCCTCCTACCCATAAAGTTTCCATACCTGGTTATGACTTTTATCTCTCTAACTCCGTTCTCGAGATTAAGGAAAGACAGACAGACAAATAGACGAGTTATAATACGAATATAAACTTAAGTATATCAAGAACATTTATGTTTTATTGTTTATAATAAATCTTCTATTAAAATTATAATATTTTAATTCTTTATTTTTACTTTGATAAATGACAGTCATGAGAAGATAAAAATCTATTTTAGTTTGACATCTATTTGTGAGTGGAATTAACAAAGCATACGAGCACCTTTTACTATCAAATAATTCTCACGATGATTAATCACTCGATTACAAGGTTCGCTGAACAAGTCCATAGCCAAAAAAAATCTATTCCTAACAAGAGCATAATTTAATAGGAATATGTTTACGGGAAAAGATGACAAACTGTAACAGTGTGTCTAGAACATATCACATATATATACATTTGAAGAATGAGAGTACATATTCTAAACCTGGTTCTGAACTTGGACCAACAGAGCGTGACCAATTTATCCCTCCAATATCCTCACTCTCAAAGAAATGTTGATAAGCTAAATGTTGTGCAGATTAGTGTTATCGTCTATAAAGAGATATTCAAATTTAGCAACACTTCGGTAAAGCCTTATATATAATTAAAGCGTTGTTGAGCAATGAGTGAAGCGTTGTTATTGTAATTAAAGCGTTGTTGAGCAAAGAGTGCCTCCTTCAAAGATGTGAAGTGGAATAAATCTGTTTAATAAGCTCTACCTAAGTCATTACCATCGTTATCGAGGATGTCTTTTTATCTGATATTGTAAATATCACTACCCATCTCTTGTTCACGTAGATAAAAATGTGTCGAAAAATCAGTCTGTTAATTGAATCTCGATTATCTACAAAAATGTTCTATAGAAGAGACATATTTGTATGTTGAGAAGATCTCAGTCAGTAACGGTTAAGAGAGTGAAAGGAAGATTGACGTAAACTACAAAATTGGTCAAGGAAGCGAGACAGTTAAGAACATGACATTAAGGAATCTGTGGCATATACAGAGTAGCAGAAACCAGAATATAAAGGTCTGATCCCAGATAGATGGAATAGGGCTTATAGGAAAAGTCTATGGATGGCATTGGACTCCAACAGCCTTCTAACAACCTCTTAAAACACTTCAATTTACTGATCCAATTTACTGTAATTTTCAGCAAGAAATAAGTCTTTCCATTTACTCTCTAAATAAATAATTTAATTTTGGTGTTTTAGAGCTTATTTACAAAATATTTCTAGTATTTTATTTTTATCTTTTTATTAAAAATAAATTTTTATATTTTAATTTTGAATATCTAATGTTATTAATACTTATATAAAAATTTTTCCTAATCAAGGAAAGCATTAAAAAGTTTATAAAATGAATGGGACACCTATTAGATTAGGAAAAATTCAACGAAGCATATAAATAATATTTTTATAAATATAAGAATATAATTCGAAAATATGTACTTAGAAGTGTATAATATATAAAAATAAGAGGAAATTTTTTTCGTTTTTATGAATATTTTTTTACGTTTTCGTACATTAAAATATTAAAAGCATAGTAAAAGTATGAACATTCTTTAATTTTATAAAAAAAATTACTAATATATAAAGGTAATAATTACTAATATATAAAGGTAAAATTACTAATATATAAAGGTAAAGCGAAGTCTGAATAGTACAATATTCAGACTTCGTTCTGGTGATTTTAATAGTTTACACGTGACATTTTCAAGTCTCTAATTTTGACAATACAACAATTGTTAAAATGTTTATGCTGTGAACCTGCTGAGAAATTTAAAAAATTATAAATTCAATTTATTATTTGACAAGTTATCTGCATTACTTTTTTTTTTAATAAAAAGAAAAACTTTAATTGTCACTTTTGACAGCGGGGGTTTAGCGAAAATCGAATTTAGCGAAATGTTCAATGTCTACAGTCCAACGATATGGAGTAATATTACCATCATTTTAATGTTAGGCCAACTGATTATAGCCTCTGCTTTTTTTTTTTACATTTACAGAGCCGAGTTGCA